TTCGAATTATTTCCACCTATTTACCAAATAACTCAGATACCAACAAAAAAACACAAAATCAAATCATAGCTGAAGCCACCAATCTAATTAATATCATAAAAAATAAAAAGATTACAGAGAAACAAACAATCTACATAATCAACACTGTACTCATACCTTGCTTTTCATACAGAACATTAAACACATTTGTTTATCAATTTAATACACAAAGCAAGATCCAAATGAAGTGGTCCTTCTGCGAATAACAAGAGAAATACTAGAAAAAGCAGAGAGGGAGCAATCAGAGAAAAAATTAGATAGCATAAAGCAGAGCCAAGACAAAATAAGAATGGAAGAGAAAGGAAAGCAACAACAGGAAGATTTACAAGAAGTAACGCAGAAAAGGAAAATAGAAGAGAGAGAACCTAGCAAGAATTTACAAGATCATGCCAAAACTTCACAGGAAAAAGTAAGTATACAAGTAGGACTAATATGCAAGAGTCGAATAGAGACAAAGTCACCTATTCAAGAAGAAGAAAAAGAAGAACAAACAAGAGAAGAAGAAGAAGATGTAGAAATGGATGAAAAAGAATCAAGACAAGGCTCTACGATAGAAGAAAAAGAAAGACAGAAAAGAAGAAGACCAGACACTGAAAAAGAAATCGATATAGTAGGAGTGCCATTAGAAGAAAGCATATGGGCACCTAGCAAGAGAAGCTGTAACCTAAATAATGCTCTACTTGCCAACATACCAGACACAATGTGCTAGGAAAAACTAAAGAAGAACAGATAAAATTTATTAACTGGTCATTAAAGAATAATGAGCATGTCAAAAACATTAGAGAAGTCTTTAAGAGAGGGAATTTATGGATAGAGGTAGATTTCAACTGCAAATATGGCAGAAGTGAAGCCATACAGAGAATTAACAAAAAAGAAAGTGACTGGTATAAAATGATAGCAGAAAAAGAAAGAGAAGAAATGAGAGAGAAACAAAGAAAGTATAGTGAAGAGTACTCGTAAGGAAGAAATGATACATCAAAGATAAGAGAAAGAGATTTCGAATGGGACAAAAATGAAGCAAAGATAAATGAAGACTGCTGTGAGACAGAGGTGAAGTCTGATAACAAAGACTATCTGACAATATGGGACTTGCCGACAAATATAAATAAGAAAGAGTTAGAGTATATTTGTAGAAGATTCAAAGAAACCCACATAGTAAGGATTAAAAGGTCAAAATTCAAAGCTCTGGCAGTGGTGCAGATAGGGAAAACAAATAATGAGAACATCCTATAGGCTATACCAGTTAACAATAACAAACTGGTCTGGGTTACAAAAGGAGAAGAAGATCACGAAGCAAGAGAAAAACAAAGAAAATACACAGCAAAATTAACAGAACTACCGGGAAATGCCTCAGAAGTCTTATTATTGTGAAGTCTAAAAAGTAAAGGAGCAAATCTGTTTACATCCCACCAAATAGAAATGGAAACCAAAAAAGAACTGCAACAATCATTTTTGCAACAGAAAGAGAAATGAAGGCAGCTCAGTCAAAACTGATTATGTACAACAATTTTCGAGTTCATTGGATAAACAGAGAGAAAAGAGAAATAAGAAGAGAAGAAAGGTTCAGAGAAGAAAGAGGTAGAAGCTGGGATAGATTTAGCCAAATTTCCAATATAAAAGAAAGTGAAGATAGAAGAGGAAAACAAAAAAGCAAGACATACATGAACAAACCAAATAATGAAGCATCAAGGATAAGTGATTGGTCAACAGAAGAAAGAAATGATATGCAAGACCATAATACTGAAAATCAAGCAAGATATAAAAACATGAACAAAGAAGAAGAAGAAGGTCTAGGACAAAGAATTGCTGAAGCCAAGGCCCAAATGCAAGGCAAAGGCACATATGTAGGAGACATTCTAGGTCGAATTTTGGAAAGGTTAGAAAGACTAGAAGAAGCAACATCTAAATTTTAAAATGCACAAAAACAAAAGTAGTTATTAACAAAGCAGTTGTCTTTTTTTTTTTTAAAGCTTTAGATTTCAAGTTAGGTGTTTGAAACAAAACAAGCTTGTTCGCATATAAGGTCTATGTTTTATATTTAAGATATTTTTAAGTTGACTTGGTTTGTTAAAGCATATGGGTTTATTAACTATAGATATCAACCTGGGTTTATAAATAGTAGAGTTAGTAATTTGAGCTTTGTTTTATCATTTTGGCTCTACTCTATATGCATCTATCTATCTTTTATATATATAAACCAATAAATCATATGTATTTATCAATTTATATAACCTTTTTCTTGAAATTTTCGCTTTTAGAACTGTAATATTATAAAAATAACGAATTGCAAATTGTATGATTTAATTGATTTGATTGGCTAATAATCACATGTAGATCTACAAATTGATCTATAAAGCTAGCCAATCAGACAAATTTCTGCCTATG